AAAGAGTTAGTAAGTTAGCAAGAGACACGCAGTTATAGGTAGATCACAAAGTAAATACGAATAATAAATATAAATACGAACGAAACGAAACAAACGAATAAATACAAAAAAATACGAACAAAAATTAGGTTTTTTTTCAACCAAAACATTTTGAATTTTCACTTTAACGCGCTTGGAAACCGTGGGGTACAACAACACAATTTAAAAATTCAAATTTTGACTTTTAAAATGACAAAATAAATGACAAAACCAACCAACACAAATCACTGTCCACACCACAGATACCTATAAATTTCTCTTATCTCCGATATGTTCTGTGACCTGTCCCACGACGGGTAATGAGGACGGGAAATTTTTTCGTTTCGAATGAAAAATCAGTTCGTAGTAGTGTTTTTTTGGTATTGTATTTTGTTACGAGCAATGTTAATAATTTAGCATTAAATTTAATGCCCGGGCAATTTGGAAAGTGCCCAAAGAAATATGACAAAATTATGAATTATACAGAAGATATCAGATTGCCCACACGGCATTATAAATGATGACCGGGTTATTATTGGTAAGTTTGGTAATGTCTGAATAAGATTTCAAACTAACCCAAACTAACCTGGTTATTATCGGTAAGTTTGACAATGTACCCCAAACTCTTGGAGTAGTCCGAACAGTTAGGGTACTCGGAGTACTCCAAACAGTTGGAGTACTCAAACAGTTGGAGTAACCGGAGTATTCCGAATAGTTGGTGTACTCGGAGTACTTCCAACAGTTGGAGGTACTTTGAACAGTAGGAGTACTTCGAACATTTAGAGTACTCCGATCAGTAGGAGTACTCCGAACAGTTAGATTACTCCGACTTAGCAGTACTCCAAACAGTAGGAGTACTCCGGTCAGTTGGCTCACTCCAAACAGTTGGAGTACTCCGAGTAAACCAACTATTCGGAATACCCAACCCAACTGTTCGGAGTACGCGAACTGTTACTCCGAACAGTTGGGTTGGAGCACTCCGTACACCTGTTATTGAACTGCCGCGTAGTAGAATGTGTGATAGATATTCCTACCAGCGTGCGAGAAACACACACGCATTTTTATTCCAGTCCGTTATCATTATGAACTTACCGATAATGACCCAGTTAGTTTGGATTAATTGGCAATTTTAATCGGTGATTATCAAACTTACTGATAAGAATCCGGTTAGTCTGGGTTAGTTTGCAATTTTAATCAAACAAGTTATCTACTTCACTCCAGCAATAATCATAATGACCAATGCCCGGACAATGTGATGATATCTTCTAATTCATTCATTCATTCATTAAATTGTCTGGGCATTATAAATAATGCCATATTATTTACATTGCCGGTCATTGGCCATTGCCCGTGACATGCGAAAAAAAATTAGAGAATGTACTCACCGGAGCCAAAGTGCATTTTCATCTGTAGCCACGAAAGTCCTTGAATGTTTATATTGAATTGTTGTCAACCAGTACAATAATCAGTATAAAACAAACTGCAGTTTTATATTTGTGTTAGGTAGATAATATAGTGTTAACTGTTTCTTTATGTTTTCTAAATAAAAAGATTTACTCTAACTGTATTATTTATATTTAATAGTATTTTCGACTTTTTTTTTCAAGTTTTGACGGCACCGTTTTTGGCAAATTGTAAAATGCCTAAGAATAATCAGTCACACCATGATATATATTTTTGTGTTCTTGTTTCGCCGGCATTTTATCAGTTTGCCTGAAATGGTGCCGTCATAACGAAAAAAGCATTTTATGCTTGCGTTTTGCCGGCTTTTTGTAAAATACCTAGGCAAATTATAAAAAGCCCAAATTTGCATTATGCCTACGACATATATAAAAATTAATGCCACTTTTCGTTGTAATTTTATAACTCAAGAACGGGCTCACCTAGCCAAACCAGGCTTTGTTCGGACTATTTATTAGATGGTTTATGTGAAGTTTGCACAAAATCGGTCGAGCGGTTCTTCATTTATCACATTTTTTGTAATAAATGAATTATTTAATAAATGGAGGATCATTTTGTTATCATTATTATCTATATATATATACCTAAAGCACAGTTGTGTTGGTTTTAGCACTTATAACTCGAGAACAGCTGGACTGATTTTTATGATCTTTGCTTTATTGGATTTGTCTTTGTCCATACTAACATAATAAATCGAAAAAATCCAAAAAAAAGACAAAAAACAAAATTACCTATTTTACTTATTTATGAAAAAAATTCACTAAGCCCGCATACGGCGCCACCTCTTATAACCGATACCAAGTTAACCGCCACATTTTCATTGCAAACCATTTTGTATACGGCGCTATCTCTGATAGCTAGAACGAAGCTCGCCGTTGCGCGGTAATTTCATTACAGATACAGTAGAACAATGCTACTCAGGAACTGGAGCTATTCCGAACAGAACTATTCCACTATTCCGATCAGATAGAGTGGTGCAGAAAGAGTAGATCAGATAGAATAGTGCAGATAGAGTAGAACAGATGGAGTAGTGCAGTGCAGATAGAGTGAAACAGGGCTGCACTGGAGATTTTTTTGTTTTCTTTACATTCTTTGAACATTCCTGTGCCTGAGTTTATTTATTTGATGGTACACTTTACAAGAATAATGCCCACAAGCTGCCTAAAAAGGGACGATGTAAAATTTTAATTTTAGGTGACTTCTGATCCAGAGAGCAAACATTAATTTTTTTTAACCAAAGCCAAATTCACCATCGAAAAAAACTGAATTTAATTCAGCTAATAGATACGTTCACACAACATTTAATAGGTATTTAATAATTCAGAGGCGGTACGAAGTTCGCCGGGTCAGCTAGTATAATCATAAATCATGTAGACTTCAAAATTCCCAACATGGTTAGGGCTGGAATAATGTAAGGAGTATTGGCGGCTAGTCGAAAATGTGATATTCAGATTTCATCGATTGTGTTATGTGTTACTAAAAGCAGCAGATTCAGTAGAGCACATGGAACCAGCAGAGGACAGGAGACGAACAGGATTGAGCAAAATCAACACAGCGCAAGACTATCAGGCTCGTAGTCTACGAAGTTAGATACACAAGATTGAATCGAAAAACAGAAAAGTGAACTGCAAGAAAACTACAAGGTTATCAGGATTCCGAACCATGCATCGCCTGCCATGAAACTCAGAAGATAATGAAAGGACCAAAATACGAGAAAGCCACACCTCTCTTCTCTAACAAAATCATCAAGTAGAAGTCCAGGAAAACCGTGCTGGCTCTAAGTGACAACACCAACTCCTTCATGAAACTGGTACTGCTGCAAAAGTCAGCACGACTAGAGTAGGCAAGGTTCCTGACAAAAACTATTTTTCTATCATCTGTTGCCATGTTTGGATAAGGTATCAGAAAACGCCATCAACTTCAAGATCTAACAGAGAAAGAGAGAACTGGAACTGATCCCAGACGAGCAATATTCGGATTCAGAGAAGAACATTACGCTTGAGACTGAGGACAATGTTCTGCCTCTGCATCTGTATACAGGGTGATGTACGTAGCCCTTGCATTCGAGGATAGGGGGATTAGATGCTATTTCTATACTAACTCACCTATCAGATTTCATTTACCTATTGATGGAGACTGTTGTTGCAATTACCAGTGCCGGTGGATATAGTGGATAAGGTGATTTGCCGACTATTTCAATTCCAGATACCAAAATTACCATGTGAAGAAAACTTTTAGTGTGTGGCCTAGAGGTCGCCTTCTAGGCTACACACATAAATGACCTACCAGGAACCATTCACAAGCAATAGTGCATTGTTTTATTTAGTGTCGTCTGTTATTCAATTTCAGGTTTTATTGTTCACCTCCTATATGGTCATATATTCTGTTTTCCTCTGATTTACTTCGAAACCCCATTTCTCGTATTTTCCTTTTAGCTTACGTGTCATGTACTCTAGGTCATCATCATCATTGCTAGATACTATTACATCAAGTCTTTGGAGCGTAGTCTACAAATAGTTTGTCCAAAAATTGAAATATAGAAAGATTTTCTCAAAGAAACTACCCTCATAAATCGCCCCCTATTAATAATCTTCTAGCTATTACGTCTTTCGCACCCTCGACTTCAAATTCAACCCCGGTCCGTTATTTAACTATAACAACATTATTTAAACGAAAAATGGGGGAGATCGGGGGGTATAAATGCTATTTCTTATGAACAACAATGGCGCAACGACCCCATTTCACTCTAATTGGAGTATAAATTGAAAATACAACATGTGGACTTAACGAGGGGTAACGCAATATGAGCCGTTGTGCAAAAGACACCCTTTTTCCTAGGGCCAATCAGGCCCGTAGAACCACGCCCTTGACTCCGAAGGGCTGAAGGACCACATGCTGAATTTCTGATGGATGGATTTTTGTTCAGTGTAGCTATTATCACGTTATTATTTGATGGGGAGTGAATTGCAAGGGGAACGTTATATGATGTATTGTTAACACGTTAATGTGTTAAATGATGATAGTTGGCACCCGTGTAGGGTGGTCTAATTTTCTGTATGTATAATTTGTTTGTGGAATTGTTTCATTGAAGAATAATAGTATATTACATTACGAGTGTAGAAAGTGACAAATTTCACACGAGTGTTTGAAAGACGCTTTCTTACGAGTGATGTACACCATTTTTCCTACGACCAGAAACCAATTTACATCGATTTTCTCTTATTTTATTTCTTCTCAACACACGTGCTGAAAGTACTTTCAATCCACGTATTGAAAGTAAATTGTTATGTCAATCACAAATAATGTCAACAGTATTTTCCACACGTGTGCTGAAAGTACTTTTAGCACGAGTATTGAAAGTACGTTCAGCACGCGAGTGATATTTAGCGCTTTCCAAAGAACCAGCTAGTGCGAATTTTGTAATTTTCGTATGTGGTCGTAGGAAAACAAAATTATAGGTATATTGAAAAAAAAAAAACTCATTAATAACTAGGTGAACAACAGGAAGTATTCAGTTATCTTCAGGAGATCTTCAGGCCTTGCAGGTTCTACATCGAAACATTCAACATTATTAATAAGTCAAAAATCCATTAAATAATTTTACCTTAGTTAAGTCAATCTGTTTAAGCCGAGCATCCAGTTCCCTTTTACATTCAGCCAGTCGGGCATCTCGCTTTTTTTGTTCATTCAAATCTAATTGTTGCCTAACCGTTTCTGGTGTGAATGGAATTACATAAGCGAGAAGAACGTTGCAAACTAGAACTATATGCTGCAATAAAAGTAGGTTCATATACAGGATAAAGGCACCTGATGAAGTAGTGGTCTAACCTCAAAAAGAAAAATAGTAATGATCTTGAATGTAAAATCTATCCAATATGTTTCCGTAATATCGTATTTTTGAGGAGTATCTGTCCGATGCACATAGTCTCGAATATAACAGTAATCTCTGTGTTCTGCCAATAACGAATATTTTTCATAATCTTTTGTAGCATATTCTGGAAAGCATATAAAAAATATGAAGGTTTTTGAATAAATAAGAAGGCCAAGGTATCTTACGTGATAGGGTGTAATTGAAATAACCATCCATATGACCATTTCCTTTGGTCCATCGATAGACTAGCCTAGATACCCAGCTGCTTGTGAAAGCTATTACAAATGCCTTATACAATGGAAAAATCTTCAGTTTGTCTTTAATGCTGAATTTATTATTACTCACGTTCATAGCAGCGCCTAGGTAAGACAAACTGCGCAGTATTCCAACCCAGGGTCCTATTCCAGATTTGGCTACTGGCACAGGTCTTCTGTGGGTTTTGACAAATTTATAAGCATCCGTTCTTAGTTCTATAAGATTATTAAGAAGAGCGCATAGAGATGCTAACGGGAATGCGTGGGAGAAGAATGCTACGAAGCCGTATCTGATCACTAAATAAAGAATATTATTGTGAATATCATTTGTCTAGGAAATAATAGTCCTTGGGCCCAGATCTAAATTTTTTATTTATGACCACACCGTCGAAACTTTTTGTATTTGTTATTTGGGTGGAGTCGGACAAATTTTGAGCTTAGCCAGTGGCGGACCTAGGTCCTTTGGGGCCCGACGCAAAAAAATGTTTGGGGCCCTGTCATGCTTTTTAGGTATTTTTCTTGTGGTGTTGAGGGCATTAGCTGACGTCACACATATAACCTCACTTTCGATGGGGGAACAAACAAAGCGTTTGTTTATCTCATGGCCGTTTCCTTCAACTCCTTTAGGAAGGCCTTAACAATAAGTACTCCTGAAACTGATATTTCTCCATGGAAACCTATGATTTCAAGGAATACTCATCATTAAGGCTTCCCTAAAACAAGAAGTTGGTGGAAACGGCCGTCAATGACATGTTTGATCATAGGGTCATTGCATCCTTGTCCCCCTATCGAAAGTGACGTTACGTGATTTGAGACGTAATAGCTATCGCATAACCGATGTGTGTAAATAGTCCTTGAATGCTCTGTTTGTCCCCCTATCGAAAGTGAGGTTATGTGTGTGACGTCAGCTAGGGCTTAATTGAAAAATAAGATCAATAAATAAGAACATGTATGAGACATTGGCTCATATACAGAAAACAGAAGTAAATGATTTTGCTTATGTTTTCTGAGATGAACATATTCAATATTCAGCTTTAATGCAGCAAAAAGAGACGGAGGTGGAGTAAGAGCATTTAATTCATAAGACTGAATAGAATATGAGAACAAGTTGAACGAAAAATATAATTATTTGTAAAAATTCAAGAACTTTCTATCTAAACAAAAAGTAATACAAGTACCTAGTAGTCTCCACATACAGAAAAAATCAAAAAAGTAAAATATGCGTCCCGCGCGTCCGCGGTTGCCGCATCGCGTCGGGCACAGCAGGGACTCTGTAACAAATAGAGATATTTATTTCTCTATCTCTATTGACGTCCCCTCTCTATTGATTTCGAAAAGAGAGAAGAGGACAGCAAGTGCGATAGCGACAGGGATAACGATCTCTATCCGTTACAGAGTCCCATGGCTTACCTAGAGGTATACAACGTTGCCGTAACTTTCAAAATTTAATTTTCGATATTTTTCAATACACACGAGTTTATTTTTTTTATTCATTTTTTTATTGATGCCTTTAGAATCTGGTTGTGTGGGGGCCCCTTAGCTCTGGGGGCCCGACGCAGAGTGCGTCCTTTGCTTCATGTTAGATCCGCCACTGAGCTTAGCGCATTATGGTAGTGGGGCGTTTGTCTGTCAAGCTGTCACGAAGTTGTCGATTTTATGCAAGAAAAAAATTTATGACCACATTGGTAATTTTTTTAAAATCAATAGTTTTTATCACATAAACAACGAAAAAAAATGTGTCGGACAAAAATATTGGGGCATTCGACGCGTCGGACACGTTGAATATGTCAAATTTATGGGAAAAAAAAATTATTACCACCCGGCTGATTTGAACAGAATCTGCCATAAAAATATTTTACAATAACGTGGTTACCTTGTCGGACAATTTTCACGGGGCATATGCGCAGTCGGATGCGCCAAAGATGTCAATTTCCTGCAACAATTTTATTTACAACCATTTTTCCGACAAAAATAGGAGGGTCTAAGTAATTATATTCTTAATCAAAAAATCTAAGTGTCGGACAAAAATATTGGGGCATATCGACAGTCGGACAAAAAATGTAATTTTTATTGGTAATCGATATTTCTTAACTATACTGGGTTCAGGTATCCCTTTTTTTACAAATATTTTTCCGACAAAAATAGAAGGTTACCAGTAATTATATTCTTAAATAATAAATGTAATTGTCCGACAAAAATGTTGGGGAAAACATACAAGAAATTTAATTCATATATGCTATCGACGTTCTTAAATTATAAGGATGAGTTAATGCTTATATTACTTTATACCTACATATAAACATATAAGTACCTACATATACGCCGACGCTACTTATATTTTATTTACAATACAAACAAACATTTGAGACGCGTGCGGTGAAATTTTAAGACGAAGCGATTTTCAAATTGCTTGTGATGATTTTTCGCATAACAATGAATATAGTATATTTCCTAACTAGTGCGGAAAGTACCACTTTTCCGCAGGCGATTGCAGTTTGCCGAACGACGCGTAGCCGGGTTCGGCAAGCAATCAAATGCGGAAATAGTTATTTACCTAACAAGTGCGGAAAGTTATACTTTTCCGCACGCAACGGCGTTTGCACGAGCGACGCGCCAGCGGAGTTCGTGCAAGCCATAAGTGCGGCAAAGATACTTTACGCTCGTGTTAGGTACAACATTTTTCCTACGAACGTGCGGAAATTGACATATTTATTGTTTTTTTGTTTGTATTTGGCTCTACTGATAAGAGAAATGGTCAAATATGTGATTTTTTAATTGAGTCCAGTAACGCAATGATTTCAACAATAGAACATTAACAATTATTTTTATTATAAGTAGAATTATTATTTATGGTATACAACTCGTTAAAGAGGTCGATATTGGTCAGTGCAAAAACCTAATAGCTTTCTTGGAGAGAAAAATGGGTGCCGTGCGGTAAAAAAAATTTCACGCACGCAGTGCAGAAAAGTGGTACTTTCCGCACGCAAATCAGTGCGTGAAAACGCGTTTTCCGCACGCTCGTAGGAATAGAGACTTTCCGCACGTGTTAGGAACACTATTTTTTCTACGAGATGAAGGTAATATTTTTACCTACATATTCATTAATTTAAGATTTTTTTTTTTCACTTTTTCGTACCTGTACCTGTAGTATACCTGTTTACCTGTAAGTACCTGTATACCTAAAAATTTCAGGTATTCTACTTTTCCGGACTCAGTGCAGAAAAAAACAGAAAAGCACTAGTACGGAAAAGTGATACTTTCATGACCTAAAATACGTGCGGAAAACTATACTTTTCCGCACGCTCGTTTCACCGGCATCATTTGACATCAACTTTGAATTTAATCCATGATTAAAAATTCCGCTTAAATTTATAATCTTCGGTCAAATTTAAAGTTGGTGTCAAATGATAGCTTATGGAAATCTAAGATAGGAATGTAAAATCGGTTTTCCTCTAAAATTAATTTAGGTTTTACAGTCTGTCAAAGATGCAAAAAAGTAAATTTTAAACTGTCAATACTTCCGAAACAGTTGAAGATAGCTATATGATATTGTACATGAAATATATCTAGAATTTTTCGCAGAATCCAGAAATGTCATAATATACAGGGCTAGTCATTTAAAAAAACATAGCCTTGTGTCACCACTACTTATTGGGCCACCCTGTATACTGGAAAATAATTTAGGAATGTAGCACTCATGTTTATCTACAAATTTTGTATTTACTTTTTTCTTCGATCTGTGTTAGTATAGGAGATAGGGACCACTGCGCTCTTAGTAACTCACCCTGTATAAAACATATAGGTGTGTGGGTATGTGTGTATGCAGATATACTATAAATTATACATGTAGAAATTCTTGACTGGCTTGTTTAATAAGTGAGATGATTCAGTCTTGGCAAAAATAAAACTAGTTTTTCACAAACGCCGAGCTTTCGGAAATTTTATTGTTTCCTTTTTCAAGGGTGCAAAGTTAGTTAAATTATTTTAGAATTAGCCATTGTTGGGAAAATTATTGATTTGTTCTTTTCTTTTAACTGTTGCTCTAATCTTGGAATTTTGCGTCTGATAATTTTGAAAAGTTAGGAAGTGGAAAATTACAAAAATTACCTACTTTTTTTTAAATTGTATCAAAACGCCCCATTATTTTTGTCCGACAATTGATCCGATATGCGTAACACATGTAAATAAACAGTAAAAAATAAAAATTGCATCTGTGGTTGTAAATAAAATTGTTGCAGGAAATTGACATCTTTGGCGCATCTGACTGCGCATATGCCCCGTGAAAATTGTCCGACAAGGCTACCACGTTATTGTAAAATATTTTTATGGCAGATTCTGTTCAAATTAGCCGTGTGGTAATAAATTTTTTTTTCCCATAAATTTGACATATTCAACGTGTCCGACGCGTCGAATGCCCCAATATTTTTGTCCGACACATTTTTTTTCGTTGTTTATGTGATAAAAACTATTGATTTTAAAAAAATTACCAATGTGGTCATACATTTTTTTCTTGCATAAAATCGACAACTTCGTGACAGCTTGACAGACAAACGCCCCACTACCATAATGCGCTAAGCTCAAAATTTGTCCGACTCCACCCAAATAACAAATACAAAAAGTTTCGACGGTGTGGTCATAAATAAAAAATTTAGATCTGGGCCCAAGGACTATAAGTATTTATTTGTAGCAATATTCGAATACACTGGTGGTCGATTTTTTTTTGATATATTATCTATGTAGATAAGTTACCGAATGTTTCACTCTCGACATAGAGAGGATAAACAATCCTTTGACCTTATCCTTCAGCTATCGGATATCGAACTCTGATAATAATTTTTCATTTTTGTTTGATACCAGAGGCAGAGGTAAGTTATAAATAGGTATTATTAGCCGACTGACTCCACATGTCTCTGATAATATTAGAAGGACCGGGTCATATCCTCCAGTTTGTCACTTATTCTTGCCTTTCTCCTGAAGCTTCTGAAGAAGAAGGCGACTTAAAGAAATACGACGTCTTGCGAATTCATGCAGATGAAGCTTTCCACATGGCTGAAGTAATTATTTATCCTGATTATCTGATTAGTGATTCAAGCAACA